GTTCTCAACCAGCCGTTCCGCTGTTTTTTGCACCTTGTCAGGTGGATTCAGGGGAAGAAAGCGGGGGGCTCGGGAGCGGAGAATCCTTGTTTGCCGTGTCAGTTTTATACTCTCCGAAAACGTGGAACAGCAGCGGTAGTGCCGTGGTGATGCGCCGTTGTTTATTGTTTCGCCATGAAGAGAGGCCGGCAATAAGTTCGGAGTATGAACGTAATGTGTAATGTTATAATGTTGGAAGACAGAGGGGGAGAGCTTGCGATCGTAGCTCTCAGCAAGACCGATTGGGCAGCTCTCGCCGTGCAGAGATGTGAATGATGTGAACACCTGCGGCAAGGCACGGCCTCCGTGAAGACTCACACGTGCTAACAACACAAACATGGAGGAAAGCTCCTCTTCGAATTACAAGATCTACTGCATGCAAATTCCACCTCTGTTGACACATCTGTGACTCGCCCCAAGGTGACATCAATGGGCACAGCGGCGTGCCTATGCCGCAGGAAAGTCTGAAGCGGGGCCCCCGGCCTGTCCTGCGAGACGGTGTGTGCATGTCCTCAGAGTTCGCTGTCAGTTGGGAAATGATGGCAGACCGGCTGCCTGCCTTTGGGCGACCAGCGGGGTGCCCAGGGTTTTTGCGTGCACTCTTTCTCTTTCTCTTTCTCTGTCTCTGTCTCTCTCTCTCTGTCTCTCTCTCTCTCTCTCTCTCTCTCTCTCTCTCTCTCTCTACGCGCGTGCGATCGTGTGCGGGTGCATGCGTGCGAGCGTGCATGCGTGCAGGGTGCATGCGTGTGTCTGCGGGTCGCCGTCGGACGTTTGTCGCATCGTCAAGATTGCCGGTTTTTCCTCCACGCATCACATATTGACGTGAATGAACGGTTTATAGTTTGTAGGTGGCCTCACCAGCGCGGGAACGGTTGCCGAGCAGATTGATTGTCTGTTGCAACCTCGAGCGTAAGCGAGGGCCCAGCCCAGACTTTGAGTATTGGAGCCCCTCATGAGAAGCAGAACGACGTTGTGGTTATTGAAGTATTAAAGGTCGGCACACGGCGAAACCCAGCTGTTGTCTATGTCACGGGGGGTTGGAACCTCATAAATGCACGCTTGCATGCGGTATGTTGATCACAGATGCACACTGTGTTTGGGCACAACAGTAGCTCCTGATCCATTCTGCGGCTTGAAAGAAGCCAGCGTGCAAACGAAGATGTGATATTGGAAGCCTGACGTAACCCCAAATCCTGGTCCCTGAAACCCTGCATAACGCGAAACCCTCAAAGCCCAAATTCGACTGAGCACTAACAGCTTCAGAGGGCGACAGCACTTCAAACTGCTTGACATTGCCAGGTCAAGGTCTCCGAGTGCAGCATGCATCGGGCGGAAAGTTACCTTGATGAGACAAAGAAGTGGCCAAAGGCGATGCATGGACGGATGGAGCAATGCAGGCAGCTTGCGGACTTGAAGCTGAATCGCAAGCACTCGGAGCCTGCAGAGGCAGCGTCAACGGTGGCGCTGTTGACACGAAAGCCGGCGAAGCTTGCTCAGCCAAGCCAGGGATATCAGGACGAGCGCAGCAACGAGCAGATTCTGTTGGACATGCTGCGAATACAGAATCCACGTGCCTGGATGGCGGTGACGAATAACCGGGGCGCATTGATCCCTCGATCCTTGCTGAAACTGTGCAAGAAGGAGGCAGTCGCAGAGCAACCGCTGCACTCAGAGCAGCAGCAGCCGGGGGGCTCGGAAAGCCCGGCGGTTGCTATTTCGAAGCGTTTCTCAGCGACGGACAGGACGGACTCCGACGCGTGTTTGAAAAGGCAGTTTGCAGAGCTCTGCCGGCAGTTTACCGGGAAAGATTACTTGACTTATGAGAAATGGCTCAAGTGGGATGAGTCAGACACTTGCACTTGCACAGACGACGCAGCTGGAAGCATGGGCACAGAAGGTGCTCGAAACCTATGGCTCGGAGTAGTCGGTGTCGGCAATTCAGCGAATGAGGCAGATTTCGTGCGACTTGCTGAGGTGATGCGGCAGGAGTGTGGAAGGAACTGGAGAGCTCCGGGAGCAAGCGAGCGGGGAGCTGCAGAACATGGTGCTGTCGGCCGCAGAGGTGGCCAGGAGCAGACGGAGGCTTTTGCTGCGGTTTGGCAAGCCGTGGAGGCAGAGGAGGACCAGGCTCTTGTACCTGGAGAGCAGGCAGAGGACGAATGGGCACAGCTGGCACGGTGCATGAAGGCCTCTTCGAGGATCTTACTGGTAGCTTCCAAGGCTTCCGGGAGCTTTTGGAGGAGTGGCTCCAAGACGAGAGCCGTCCGAAGGAAGATGCAAGCCGTGGAGGCAGAGGAGGACCAGGCTCTTGTACCTGGAGAGCAGGCAGAGGACGAATGGGCACAGCTGGCACGGTGCATGAAGGCCTCTTCGAGGATCTTACTGGTAGCTTCCAAGGCTTCCGGGAGCTTTTGGAGGAGTGGCTCCAAGACGAGAGCCGTCCGAAGGAAGATCGAGCTGGAGAGTGATATTAATATCAAGTGGGGAGGCTTCCCCCATAGTCTAGCATGTTTCCGACTGCGGGAGCCCCCAGCTTGCGAGGCAAGAAGGGTATTCGTTTTGTCGTGAGCACCCTTAGAGGGGCTTGCGGTCGAAGAGTTCGGTTATTCGGCGTTGCATATGCTCGGGCACAAGCGACGGTTCGAAGTCTTTCAATGCTCATCTTGGCGTTTGAGGCCACGCCGCCGGCACACATCGTGGCACATGGTGATGCCGTGGTCCTGACCGTCTCGGACCGGTTGCCCTCGGGAAGCCTGCAGTCACAATTAGGGGTACCTTATTTTGGGGTCATTTGGGGTCCTTATAATAAGGATCTTACTATTTAGGGTACTACATGCGACTTTGGGTCAGGTCTTAGGGTTTACAAGGGCGGAATGTTGTAGCGGGTTCGCAGGACTTCTTTGCCACCTACGACCTCGGTGCTCTGCTCGTGGGCAACCGCTGCTCGGTCTATCTCCCCAGCCCCGCCCTTAGGGATCCTTATGACTCCGGGCTCCAAGTCTCCGACCCTCAGCTCCAGAATCGCGCCAAAATCTGAAATGCAGAGATCTGAAATTAAGCTGCTTGTTCCCTAAAGTGGGCGGGCTGGCACTAGGCAGGCCACTGACTTCTCGCAGCGAGTTAAGTCCGCTGGATCTTCTCAGGTTCGCTAGCTGCCGCACCAACCGACGCTCTCCCCGTGGAAGCGAATCTTCTTCTGACGCCTCCGGCACCTCAGCATGGCCTGATCGGATTCGTGTTCAGGGTTGTGGGTTGGGGTTTAGCGTGCCGGATTCTGTGAGATGAACCACTGAGATGAGACGAGAGCTTGGATGCTAGATGCTTCTGAAAATCCATGCGGCCCAAAACGTCCCAAAAATCCCAAATCCCAAATCCTGTGAAAGCCCTCAAGCCCCCGGAAGTTTCAAGGCTCCGGACGGACTTTGCCACAACCGATCAGAGGCAGACTGCCATCGGCCCTGCAAATGGAGCCTCGGTCTTTCGTAACTTTGGGGTTGCGGGGGGCTTCGGGCCTGAGGGCTGTAGGGCTCTGGGTTCAGGGGTTTTCAGGTTTCGAAGTTGCGGCTCTATGATTTTTTTGACTTTGGGTGTACGCCTTGCCTTAAGGGTTTTGCACGGTTTGGGATTTGGGGTGAAGCGGAGTGTTGGGGTTTGCGTGCGCATTGGGCTGTCGGAGTTAAGGGGTGATCTAACGCGAGGTTTATCACAGGGGGAAGCTGCTTGCCCTGGTTGCGATACCTTTTGTTCCAGTTGCTAGAGGTTGTGAGCAGTACTTGGCTGGTTTGTGGATTCAGTCGTCTCCACGTCTTCCGCTGCTGCTGACTCAGGCACGTGAGCAACCACAGCAGGGAAAGAAGAAATGCCACGAACGCCACGGTCAAAGCAACCTGCATCTCGTCACGCACAGTCTGAGGGCTTGTTGCACCCGCTAGCGCTTCTTCAACTTCGCCATGGGATGATATGATGTAGCTTCCTCTTCATCTGGGCGGGTGCATACCTGGAGACTGATGCTGATCGTCGTGGTTGCTAAAGATCCTAAAGCCTGACGCCCACGACCTGAAACTGTAAAGCTGCGGACCTAAGGCATTGAAGCGCCCAGCCCCCACAACCCGAAAGCCCTGACCCACAACATCGTAAACTAAATCCCCAGAAGAAGCCCTGAAGCGCTGAAGAGAAAGCTGTGACTCGGAAAGGCAAGGGCGACTTTGCTGGCTGGATCTGCTGGCGGCCATCGATGGGATCGGCCTCTCGGAATGCTACTTCTACGGACACTACGATGACGGACCTGTTCAGAATTCTGTGGCAGTCGCACACCCAACAGCAAGACCTCAAGTGGCACTAACAAGAATAATCGCCGTGCAGGCCTTGATGTTCCGTAGTTTGAATTCATCGCGATCATAGGGGTAACAAAAGCCAGAGCCAATCATGAATTGGAGTAGTACTGTAAGTCGTAGTAATGGGAAGAGCATCATTGGCAACATTAGTAGCGACGACGGCGAAGACAATGACCGTAACCTCACTAGTATGAAGTATATCGTCATCGGCCAAGAGTAACTCTCAATCCTAGCATCTCGTGAGCTTTGGAGTGTTTTTAGGCCTGAGAGCTTGAGGATTCAGGCTGCCGGCTTCGAGTGCTGGCGGGATTTGGGGTGTGTGAGAGATTGAGATAATCTTACATGCGTAGGCTTCTTGCCATTCCTGCCATGACGTAAAGTTCCGGTTCATCTGTGAGGCATCCTGGCAATGCTTCGAGCCTGGAGACGTTCTTGGCGTGCCCCATCAGAAATTGATTGCTGCAGAATTTCTTACACTGTTCAGCTGGGCTTTTGGCTTTCGGTCGGAACGATGAACAGTTTAGGAGCTTGACATTTTGAACAGGGAAAACATCGCCAAAGATCTAGGGAATTGAAACGGGCCGCAACGCAGAACCGAATCTTGCCTAGCTCCATAGGGCTTCTGCCATGCTCGCAGCCGGCCAGGGATCAGACGGCCCAGTCATAGCGCTTGGTGGTGCGAGCAGGAGCGGGAACTCAACTAAGCAAAGCCATGGCCCATGCAATCGCGCAACTTGTACGAACAAGCCGTGTGAAGTGCTGGCCCCGGCTGCGAAGATGCTTTGCATCCGCTGTCTCGGTGTCTCGACCTTGGCAATCTTTGGTGTCTGGGCACGTTGTGATGGACGGAAGATTGCTCCGAAGGCCTGTGTTGACTTACAGGAATGGGCGAATCGCCTTGCGCCGCTTTTTGACATCACGCATCCGCCAGTAACACAATTCGTCTTCGATTCATGTCTCGCGATTTCAGAGTTGTGCAGAGATCCCGGTCTTCGAGCATGTTCCGCAGCGGCTCACGTGTTTTGCCGGCAGGCTTTCCAGATAGCGACTCTGCAGCGGATTCCGCACTGTCCGCTTGACACCTTTGGGTGGAGCTTGAAGGGTTACTTTGACTTTCTCGAAGAGCAGCCGGCAGACGGGACATGCTCGAAATGGATTACGCCACTTGCGGAGTCCAGCGTCAGCTGTCCATCACAAGGCAAGGGAATTCCGTTGGATGCAGTTCTTGCATGTAGCAAGACCGGAACGATAGAGGTTTCTCTGCGTGGTTTCTTTTTGGTGTCATCCGTTTGGATCAGTGATCCTCGTGAGAGGTCGCGGAGGTCATACATACTGGGGCTTCAGGGAAAGTCGAGACCTTGGTGGCACCGGAGCGGCAAGGCATTGAATTTGAGTTCACAGGCAGGCTGGCACACTCTACCGTCTCCTACGGCGAGCGCGATACGAGTGAAGGCAGTGAGCTTCAAGGAAAGGAAGCATTGTGTATGTTTGGCAGTCCGAGGCTGCGGATGGCTCCGTTCACATCCAAGTCCGCCTCTGGTTAAACTCTTCGCAGAACCTTTTCCCATCTTTGGAATGCAATACCTGATACAGGACATGCAGAAAGGGTATAGCACATCGCCCCGTCCCTGTGAAGAAGCAGCTCTCTCCTTCGTAGATGCAGTGCTCGAGCAGCTGCGAGCACCGGCGGCTCGTCTGTTGCCTTTCGATAAGCTCCTTCCGGAAATTCCGGAGATGCCATGCGGCGCCGTGGCAGCTGCTAAGCTGCACAGCGCAAAAGCCTTGATAGTTGCACCGACGCCGTTGAACCTGTCTGGAGCACAGCTGCCACCCCGTGCCAATGCTCGGAGACTTCAAGCTCGTCTTGCCCTTCGCGAGGTGGATGAGGCGGAGCAGTGGCTCAGGAAGATGGAGGGTGCCTTCTGCAAGCGGCAACCAGAAGTGTGGTTACTGCTTCATCGCACACATCTGCGTGTGGCTCATCACGTAGATCCGATGTTGAATAACAATCCTTATCCAACTGATGTGAGGGACTTGTTACCCAAAGTTCCACCACAGCACCCGTGTGCCGGTGTTGCCTTTACTAGCCAGTTTGGGCAGGACAAATGGGCATTAGAAGAGATCTTTTGTTGCAAGAGGCATGGAGTGTACGTTGACATTGGTGCAGCACACAGCTGGAAACTAAGCAACACCTATGCAATGGATGTTTTCTTGGATTGGCGTGGCATTTGCATTGATGCCATGTTCGAGAATCGTGCTGGTTTCGAACGAACACGCGGTTGTGAGCTGCGTGAGCAGCCGGTTTGGCGTGTGTCGGGTGAGTCACGGACTTTCCTGCTCCCATCGAATCAGCCGTCCGATGCATTCGGCCATGGATGGCTGATCGGCGACAACCAATCTGCAGAGCTGGAGAAAACCTTGTCGTTTCATGAAGAGCTTGGCCATGGTTGGACCTTGAACACCAAGACTGTGGTGACTATCTCCTTGTGGGATGTACTGGTGCCATTCCTCCAAGTTCACAAGCTGGATGCAGTGGATTTTCTGACCCTAGACATCGAGGGGCACGAGGACGCTGTTTTGGAGGCTTTCTTTGATGAAGCCGATCTGCGGAATAGCACCCCCTTGATTCGAGCCATGTCCATTGAGGTCAGCGCGGAGAAGTCCCGAAGCATTCAGAGGATCCTCCAGAGCCACGGTTACGTAAGAGACGGGAGTTGCACCACCGATGAGTTCTGGCTGCACTCCTCTGTGGTGCCATGCAGGGCCGATGGCAAAACAGGTCGAGTGCCATCTTCTAGCTGCAGGGTGTTGGTTCCGCTTCTTTTCTTGACTTCGCTGTTTCCGTCGGGCTGGCACGGATAAGGGAGTGCCTAGAAAAGAAACGTCTCTGGCCCCTTGAGCCCTTGTGTTACTTTGGATTCACACCCGAAGCCCGTCATGAGTTTGGTGGTTCCGCAGCTGCTGCTGCTTCCGCTGCTGCTCTTGCTGGTTCTGGTAGTGGTGCTGACGAGGATGTTGACACAGGAGAAGCGGGGAAAGTTGCTGTTGTGTTCATTGTTTCTGCCGTTGACGTCGCCGTCTTCTTCCTCGCATCGATCATTGCTGTGCTTGCGAGTTCTGCAGCGTTTTGGAAGCCGCAAATAGGCGAAGCTGCCTCCAAAATTTCAAGTCTGCAAGATTCCCGTGGCCTGAATCTTTTCTAACCGGAACAAAACCTCGCAGTGTCTCTCGTAATCTCTTTCCATGACTGGCAAGCTGACGCTCGAACAGACCTGACAACCTCAGCGTCTAGATTTGCAACAGACAGTCTCATGACCGAAAAGAAGCACAATTGTCGCAAGAAGCACCATGCTACCGGCCACGATCCATTCAGCCGCCGCGACAGCAACCATTGCGGATAACCACAGTATACTCTCTTCGGCTCTGCTGTACTCTACCATGGTACCTTGGTACACTGATGCACAAAGTGACCCGGAACACCCGGAGTCCATGAGGTCAACGAGACGAAGCTGGGAGTATCGAGGCAACGGGAGCCGATTCATGCGATTTTCTGAGATTCGGGGGTCCCGCTTAGGGGGTTCCGTGAGATGTTATTGGGGGATCCAAAATTCGTCAGGGTTTCCGTTGGCGTTCAGGGCGTAGTCTTTGTGACTGCTTGCTGAGTCGAGTTTAAGCCAGTGGCTTTGGGTTTTGCCGGCGGCCAAAGCAACGTGGAAGATGATGCTCGACTCGGGAAAAGGTATCATGGTTGATGTATATACAGAGTCGTGAAATCAGGCTTCACACTGGGTTCGGCCCGGTGGATCGATACAGAGGAGGAGAGTAAAGTGGGCCGCCGATGCTCGCTGTTGCTTGAAGTGATGCTCATTGGTTGGCGTCGAGGCTGCTGGAAGTAAAAGCAACTGATGCTCATGATGCTCGGCATTGGCGTCGGGATTGCCGAAAGTCTGGCTGCTGATGCTCATGATGCTCGGGGTTGCCTTCGGGATTGCCGGACAGTGGGGTTGCTGATGCTCGAGGTTGGCTTCAAGACTGCTGGAAAAGTTGAGCTGATGATGCGCCTGATGCGCGGGTGCTTGTTTCAACATTGCCGGAATGTGGAGCTGATGATGCTCATGATGTTCGAGCTTGGCTTCAGGATTGCCAGAAAGTGGGCTGCTGATGCGCATGATGCTTGAGGTTGGCTTCGAGATTGCGGCAAAGTGGGGCCGATGATGCTCATGATGCTTGGGCTTGTGCTTGGGTTTTGCTTCGGAGTTGCCGGAATTGCCAGAATGAGGGGCGGGCCTGATGATGCACATGATGCTGGAAGTTGGTTTCGAGATTGCCGGAACGTGGGGCTGCTGATGCTCATGATGCTCGCTCGAGGTTGGCTTCGCCGTTACCGGACATAGCATGATGCTCGGGCTTGGTTCGCCATGGCAGAAAAGTGAGGTTGCTAATGCTCATGATACTCGCTGTTGCTTGTAAGCGATGCTCACTGATTTGACGTCGAGATTGCTGGAATGTAAAGCAGCCGATGCTCATGATGCTCGGCGTTTGCATCGGGATTTGCTGGAAAGTGTGGCTGTTAATGCTCAGGACTCATGATGCTCCGCGTTGCCTTCGTGATTGCCGGAGAGTGGGTGGCTGATGCTGATGATGCTTGAGGTCGGCTGCAAGATTTGGCGGAAAGGTGCGCAGATGATTCGCATGATGCGCGGGGCTTGTTTCGACACTGCCGGAAAGTGAGGCTGATGATGCTCATGACGCTCGGGCTTGGCTTCGGGATTGCTTTGAGGCTTGAGGTTGGCTTCGGTATTGCAGAAAAGTAGGGCTGCTGCTGATGGTCGTGATGCTGGGGGCACCTGATGCTCACGGTATTCATGGCTGGCCTCGACATTACTAACAACTCCCGCCGGTGATGCTCAAGTACGAGTACATACCATCTTATCTTGAGATGTTAGGGGGAGGTGCCTCGCAAGTGCTGAACTCCGCCTCTTGCACGCACTCGCTTCTTTTCGCGTCCTGACAACATTTGCTTGACTCTATCGAATCTGCAATCTCCACATGCTGCCAAAATCCGATTTGCTCATGTTCACGCAGGCTCGGCCGCAAGCGGCGGAGGAGGGGGCGCCGCCAAAGCTTCGGCATTGAGGAGGGCGAAGGCGGGCACCTTCTGCAAGCACTGTTGTGATTGAATATGATTACTTGCGAATGATTCGGGTAATAGTTACTAGGTACAGTATAGTTAAGCAGGGCTAGTATGCACTGCTCGAGTACTTGTTCTCCTTCATTATTCTAAGTACACTGACTGTTTTCGCTTCTACTGCGAAGTATCGCGACGACGACCGCGCCCGCCACAGCCACCACCACCAAGACCCCCTCTGCCACCACCAGGACCTATCCGACACTTAGGCACCACCCTTGTGGCGAGAAGTGCAGTCTTGCCGACATAAGGAAGAGCTTTCCTAGTCACTATGACAATGACACCAGCACGGGCATTTATCCAAGTGCCAAGAGTCACTCTGATTCCTTCAACCCTTTCAACCCAGAAGCCCGCACCAAGGCGGTGACACGGGCTCCAAATTCCGTGCACTGCCCCGCAGCGGTGGCATCACATTGCTGTACAGGCCCAGGAAGCCAGCTTGCATTTAATCATGTTGCCGCTGCTGCTCGTGCTGTGGCTACTGCTACGAGGCACGCACTATGGAATTGAAATGATGTTGCCAGACTGTTGCTGCAGCCAAGCCACTGCGCTGCTCGCATCACTACACCACCTCTATTACTACTCCCAACACCATCACCACTCTTGCTACTGCTACTAGTACTGCTGCTACCAGCACCACCACCACCGCCACCACCACGACTACTGCTAGTACCACCACTACCACTGCAATTTACAATTGCAATTGTTGCCGCTGCCGTTGCTACTGCTGCTGCTCACACGCTTACAGCACGACCATTGCAGGTACTGCTACCATTGTTGGACCTGAGAATCAGCTCTGCCCCGATTCGCTCAGAGAGTACCTGTGAACCCATGAAAGATTACATGGCAATCTCGAACACTACATTGCCAACCCATGATCCTACAACACCTCGAGCCGACACCCTATGCCAGTTCTTGACAAAGCCTACTACACCCCCAATGCGCAGCCAAGGAATGCGTCGCACCCGAAGGAGAGTTGGCGCAGTCTTGAGTTGACATTGCTCCAGAGCCCTGGCATGCTCTGGAAGCCTTACTTTGCGGGTTTCAGAAAAACAGAGCACCCAAATACCGACAGTAAATTGCAACATCCGTATCATACACACCCCAAATAAGGTACCCCTATTTCCCTGCAGCGATTTCGAGCAAGTTTTGTGCAGCTTACTTTTCGGTCTTTGATATGATCACGGCAGCTTCGCTTCATGGTCACGTTAGTTCCTCGTGGCCATGAGCCATATCATACATTGGTTACTACTGTTACTATTGCTGTTAATCGCGAGTATTGCTGTCATTACTAGGCATAGCAAGCACGATCCCCTCAAAGTTCACCATAGAAAACAAGCGGACGAATGCCATAGTTAACGAAACAACTCTGAAAGACGTTCATCCTTGTCGTGATAGATAAGCTGAGCAGCGGCCGACAGGAATGATTTTCCAGTGAACCGTGTCATCCAGCACGAGGACTTCTCAGCCCACCACGATGTCCGCCTGGTGGGATGCTTGAATCCTTTGAGCGGGGGTGGGCAAGTGGCAGGGTTGCCAAGTTCAGAGTTAACGTCCCAGATGTTGCTGACGATCATGATGGGATGATGAGCATCGACTTCATCGTAATAAACTTCATTCATCACCATCAGCTGATGAAAATTTCGTAATGGCGATTCGGATCATGACTTCTTGTGAGTCGTGCGGATGGTGATGGGGAACGTTGGCCTGTTGTCTTTATTATGTTGCTTTGGTCTTGGTCTGGTTGTTGTTCTTGTTCGTGTTTTCACTGTTCTTGATGGTGTGTTGTTGGTTGTGTTGGCGTTGGTGTTGTCGTCATCCTGTTCCTTTTTGGTGTTTGGAGTTAACGATCGCTACCATGACTCCCGCTGTATTCGCAATCGGTCAGAGTAAGGACTACAGTGTCGATGTTACTGCGCTCAGTGGCGTTATTCCTGCCGTCGCGGAGTGCTTTCTGAGGAGTGTTTCTGGTGTTCTTCTCATTCTTGGTGTTGCTGCTTTTTTTTCCCATCTCTGCTGCCCCTTTGGCTGTTTGGTTCACTCGGAGCCTCCGAGCTCCGAGCCTTTGGCATCGCCCAGGTGGATATTCCTGGGCTTGCGAACCTGAGACCCGTGCGGGAGATGTTTGCAGCGTGGCGGAGTGCTTGCTGAGAGCAATGCCACAGGTTGTCCGTCTATGAACATCAGGGTCTGTATGGTCTGTATGTTGGTGGACATGCATGCGAACGTACAGTTCAGTTAAGCAGTTAAGTAAGTTGAGGCTGCGCAACAACAAGCCGAACTGACTCAACTAACAGCAGCAACCAAAAGGCGTCATCTTCCTTGCAGGCAAAGCTTCGGTAAGCTTTCAGGTATGCTTCAATGCAGCGGAGTACACCCCACCGGGGCCCGGTGAGCGGGGCTGCCGATGCAAGGCACACTAAGCTGGGGCCTAGCAGGGGAGGTCGGTGTAAAACCCACAGCTTCATTCAATGCCTGGGCAGCATACATTGGCTTAGTTGGTGTTGTAATGTGTGTTTTAGTAGTTTCGCCATACTGCATACTTCACCTTCCTGTCTTGCAGGTAGCCATGGGACGCATACGACAGCATGAAATTTTGTCCGCGAGAGGTGCAGAATGAGACGAAAGGCAGAGACGAGCGCTTGGGGCGTGAGCCCTTCGACGGCAGCCGGAAGATGGGCTTACCACATGTGTTTGTTTTTCTGTTGTTCACCTGATGGATCCCCAATCGGCTTACGCCAGGGTCCGGGGGCTGTAACAGTAGACTGCACCAGGCGCGTAGCACAGGCCTCGCAGCTTTTCCAAAGGGTCAATGTTGAAAAACGCATCCTGGTCCAAACATTTCGGCCTTCGTTCTCTGGGTGTTTACGACCTCACTTAAGGTTTAACGTGTGAAATGCTGGTGAATTGGCCTTGCCCCGATCCTTGCACACCAGGACTTCAGCCTAGGTTCCCGAAGCGCGCTAGGCAGCAGGGTTGAAGTTTTGCTGTCCTCGGACTTTCCGCACGACCAAGACTTCATACGCGCCTGCCCCGGAGCCCCAGAGACGCCCAGGTGCCGCAAAGTTTGGTCCACGACCCCGCAGCGCCAACAAAGTGGGGCGCTGCTGCCGAGAGGCGCCTCAGTCTGTCGCACTTCTCACCTGGACCTAATAAACTCTGAAAACTTAGCGCTAAGATCTGAAGCTCGAAGGCATGTCAGGCACAGAAGTACAGTGGCAGGGTGTGCTGTATCACACCGACGTGAACGTCCGTACCCCGTAGTTGCTACCATGAAATAGTAGCATGATCCTGATTTTTTCTGCTTGCCGCCATGATCATACAGTACAGTCGTCGGCATCGTAACAGTCTTGGCAACAGCATTACTGTACGATGGTGACGACTCTGTTTGATTTGCCTAAGTCCTGGGGCCGCCTAGTACGTAGTAGTCATCCACTCATTGCCCTCATTCCCTGCCTACTTCGAAACTTCACGGCCGCCAGGAGTTCAATCCTTGCAAGCGCTCTACAGCGACCTCGAGGTGTTTGCTTGCGAGACTACCTTCCCATACTATCGAGTAGTTTCTCATGTTACCCTGCCTTCAATCTTCTAATTCTAATGCTACGCAGCCCGCCTCGGCCGCCGACTGCAGTAGGGCCAGCAGGGGCGCAGAGCAGGGGCCAAACTGCGAAGGGCCTCTTAAAGCAGGTGTAAATTAGTTGCAGGGTCAGGGCTACTTGGAGAAGTGTGGCAAGTGTAGAGCAAACACATGCAGCAAAACGGGGCAACAAAACAGCAAAACGAGAGCTTCAACGAGGAAGCAGGAAAGAAGCACGCAAACGAAAACATAAGAAGAAAAGACAGTGGAGCCGGAGGCAGGCCGAAAGAGAAGAAAAGGTGAAAGAAAACGAGCAGGCAGAAGACAAAAAACAAGGGGAAGCCGGAGGAGGAAGGGGGGGCCGGAGGAGGAAGGGTGGGGGGAAGGGGGGGGGGAAGAAAACAAGCCAAAAAGAAGTGCACGAAAAAGTCGCAATGGAAAAAACACGCGAGGGCAGGACAAGACGGAAGGGTGGGAAAAGGGGCCGGGGGAAGGCCCGGGGGGAGGGGGGCCGGGGAAGGGAGGAAGGGTCGGGGTGGGGGGAAAAGCACGCGAACGAAACATAAAAAGAAAAGGCAGTGGAGCCGGCCCGGGGGGGGCAGGCCGAAAAAGCCAAAGCACGCGAACGAAACATAAGAAGAAAAGGCAGTGGAGCCGGCCCGGGGGGCGGCAGGCCGGAAGAGAAAAAAACAGGAAAGAACGCGAGCAGGATAAAACAGAGGGGGGCCCAGCAAGGGGGGGGAGGAAGGGTGGAGGGGCAGGACAAGACGGGGGGGGGCCCGGGAGGGGGGCCGGGCTTCAAGGAGGAAGCAGGAGAGCCAAAGCACGCAAACGAAACATAAGAAGAAAAGGCAGTGGAGCCGGCTCGGTGGGGGGGCAGGCCGAAAGAGGAGAAAAGGTCGAAAAAACACGCGAGGGCAGGACAACACGGAAGGAGGAGGAAGGGGGGGCCAGCAAGAGGGGGAGGGGGGGAAGGAAGGAAAACAAGCCAAAAGAAGTGCAGACAAGACGGAAGGGTGGGAAAAGGGGCCGGGGGAGCGGGGAGGGAGGAGGGCTGGGGGGGGGGGCGAGGGGCAACAAAACAGCAAAACGAGATTCAACGAGGAAGCAGGAAAGAAGCACGCAAACGAAACATAAGAAGAAAAGACAGTGGAGCCGGGGGCAGGCCGAAAGAGAAGAAAAGGTGAAAGAAAACGAGCAGGCAGAAGACAAAAAACAAGGGGAAGCCGGAGGAGGAAGGGGGGGCCGGAGGAGGAAGGGTGGGGGGGAGGGGGGGGAAGAAAACAAGCCAAAAACAAGTGCACAAAACCTTCCAATGGAAAAAACACTCGAGGGCAGGACAAGACGGAGGCCCGGGGGGAGGAGGGCCGGGGAAGGGAGGGAGGGTCGGGGGGGGGGGGGGAAGCTTCAACAAGGAAGCAGGAAAGACAAAGCACGCGAACGAAACATAAGAAGAGAAGGCAGTGGAGCCGGCCCGGGAGGGGCAGGCCGAAAAAGCCAAAGCACGCGAACGAAACATAAGAAGAAAAGGCAGTGGAGCCGGCCCGGGGGGCGGCCGGAAGAGAAGAAAAGAGGAAAGAACGACGGGAAGGCAGAGGAGGAAGGGGGGGCCGGAGGAGGAAGGGGGGGCCAGCAAGAAGTGCAGACAAGACGGAAGGGTGGGAAAAGGGGCCGGGGAAGCGGGGAGGGAGGAGGGCTGGGGGGGGGGGCGAGGGGCAGCTTCAATGAGGAAGTGGAGCCGGGGGCAGGCCGAAAGAGAAGAAAAGGTGAAAGAAAACGAGCAACGCGAAGGGTGGGGAACCAAAAAAGGAAAACGAGCGAGGAGGGCAGAGGGGAGGACGGGCCGGAGGGGGAGAAGAGAAAGGGAGGGGGGAGGGGGGGGTGGGGGGGCGGGCAGGGGGGCAAAAAAGAGGGGGCAAGGGCGGGGCAGGGGGGCAGGAAGGGGGGGCCCGGGAGGGGGGGGCAGGAGGGGGGGAGGCAAATTCGGCAGCAAAAAAGGACGGAAGCCGGGCAAGGGGGTCGAAAATAGTCGCTAAAAACGGGTGGAAGTTTGTATTTGGGCTGCAGGGAGAAGGATTAGGTAGAGGGTTGGTTAGTATTAACCATCAAGACGCCAAAGGCCTTTGGCCTCGGCGGATAAGTTGCCTGAATTGTGATGTTGTCCGTGTTGCAGTTTGCAGCAACCAGTCATTTGCCGATCGATTCTGGTCTTCACGCTATACTCTGAGACTTGCACATGATAGGGGTGTCCCAGAAAGTCTCTCGACTTCAGGAAGAAGGACTTGTACTTGGTTACTTGGACACTCCTCTCGTTCCAACCCTGTTCAGCAGACAGGTGGAGCCCGGGGATGGACGTGGAATGCGCGATTCCACGCAGGCGCGTTGCTTCCCCTCGAAGCGCAAAAAGGCTGAAACCCAAAAGGGCATAGACCCTGAAGCCCCAGACGTTAGGTTCTTGCTTCCAAGTTCGCTATCTCGGTTCCGTATAGGCAGTTGGCCAGTTCAACGACGAGGCCTTCCTCGAAGCGGACCGCGGGAGAGTGAACAGACGAAGCATTGAACTACGGATTCTTGAGAGAGTACTACTACGACTGTGGGTATGTTATGTTTGAACTAGCAAGAAATGAAGGGTCCTACTACGACTATGGGTATGTGATGTTTGGAGCCCCTCTCTTCGGATTGGCTCTCGGATTGGACGAACAGCTTGTGTGTGTGTGGAGCAGAATTTCTTCTGCATCGAAGTTCACTTCAAATGTGGAAAGATACTGATGACGGACATGACTGGTTCTGCGGCTAGAGTTGGTACAAATGCTGGCTCTGCAAGTGAACAAAGGCGCAATCAATGGCCTAGTGACGGACAGCAACAGTATACCTGGCCATGATCATGAGAGTAGCATCGTTGAAACATTTCTTCGAGGTAACCGTTGGAACGACATGGGGCCCCCAGGTAACCTAAACAGACCAAAAGCTTTTGCATCGATGAGGGTTCGGGACAGTGATTTGCTGAATGAAATCCGTGGATCTAGCTCCCGGATCTTGCTGGAAGCCTCTGGGTTCCTGCTTGACTTGTGCCTTTCTCTCAGTACACTGATGCTCTAGCCTTTTTACTGTCATAGTTCTTCCGTTGCCACCTGTCTCAGCATGGACGGATGCTTTCCACGATCTTTATCTTCTATTCCTTTGCAACGCTCGGGTTTCCAGAGGATGTGGAGCATTTGCACCGCGAGTATGGCCTCAGCTCACATCTGCGAAGCGACATCAAGGTGGGTAGGTTCAGCTGTTGGGGCTTTGGGCTTTAAGGTGTCTGAGAGTTGACGGCGCAGGGTGGTGCAAGTTCAGATTTGCAGAGAAATCTCTCTCGACATGTCCCATGATGGGTCGAAATAGTTTCCGCAACGATTTGTTGAACCGTCGGCCGGAACTGTAACGGTCGTCGAGTCATGTCGGTTCAATCGTAGCACAAACAGCGATAGAGCAAAGCACAAATTGCGTCTGTAGTGCCAGCAATCGTCATCATCCCTGTCGTGGTCGCCACGGCTATCATCATCAACAACAGCTTCATCAGCGGAGCAAATATCAATTAGTTCCACTTTAATAGTCACCAGTCCACCTTTTGGCAGCATCCTCACAATCGCCAGCATGACCGTCGTTGTTGCCATCGTCAAGATCATTCGTGCCATCCGTCTTCACACTTGCATCGTCATCATGATCATCATCGTCGTCATCGTCATTACTATCACCACCACCACCATCATCATCATCAGCGTGGCCAGCGCTAAAGTCCCACCGCCATCGATACAGTCGTAATGAAGCAGCCTATGCTGTCTCTGTCATGACGCAGAGTGTTGTTGCTCGTCAGTATTCTGTGTGGTTGCTGTCGCGCCTGCTGACTCCTCCATGTGGAATCATGGCATATGCTGGATAGAACAAAGCTTGTCGATGGTGACGGACAACCCTGTCGCACAACAACCCCAACCCCCAATGAAGTCTTTGCCTGGAGGTGGAGGGAGTGCGGGGGAAGGCCAGGACACTCGCGAAAGGTTGCTTTAGTCGGATTTGGGGGTTTGGCTTCGGAAGTAATGTGTGCCCGTCGGGGTTGCGCATTCCCCGATCACATTTCATGCGATGCTCAAGATCGACATTCCCTGAATAGCTGCGCACTTGCAGAGACCCTGTTTTGCTTTTCTCCGCACAGATGCAATTAGACTAGACTAGACGCCTGACCCTCATGCCTGCCAAGCTCATTCTGACTCGGAGCGTCGGTATTCGGAGACAGTCTCCGATTTGTCATCCAGCTTGTTCTAAACCATTCCTTGTGCCACGATTGCCAGGTGGACAACGCCGACACTGGTGGGGAAGGGTCCCTTGATCTTCAGGTCGGTGCCCGGCCGTCGTGTCAGCCTGCTGCCGTAATCTGTGCATGGCAGTTTCCCTGGTGCTGGAGAAGCCCAGCTCAACGCAGCCTCAAGTAATAATCCTGGCAGGTCATAACGACCCTGGCATTTGGAGCTAACACAACATGGCACCTTGCCTGCAACAGGAGGTTTTGGGACTAAGCGACGGTCTAGGACAGTCACGATGAAGAAGATATCGTTTGATGAAAAGTGTTGGGATCCGCCGTTGAAACGTTTAGAGGCCAGATCGCTTCACTCGCCTTCCTGTTCTTGCTTGAAGGCTTTGTTGGTGAATTGGCCGATTGCGCAGTCTCCGTGCGAGGGGACTTCCAGATCGCAATCTTTCGAATCGTGCTGTTGCCCCACGCTGGCATGCTGGACTTCCGCAGGTGATCCTCGAGACATTGCCTGCGGATTATGTTTTAAGATCACTGACACTTGCATTCCTGCCGGTGCCCAGCACACCTTTCGAGACAGAATGTTCTTGAATGTGGGTGTTTGGATATTCGTGGCCCTCTGAATGCACTCAGCAGCATGCTTGTTCCCGCTGAAGGCTTTCGAGAAGGCTTGAAAGCGTCTTGGACCTTTGTCTTATCACACGCTCCTTTGGCTTGGGCTCGTCGAAGTCTTGAGAGCCGATGCCCTGTACGTGCCCCCCTTAAGTCAGCGGCTTTGCTTGACCTTCTAAGTGCTGTGTCCCGCGGCCACTTAGTCTGCACAGGCAGCACAGCTCCATTCAAACAGCATGGAGAGCAACCCTGAGGAAGTCCCAGTGTGATGCATGCGATACCTCAATGTCTTTGCTCCTGCTTTCGTTTTCCGCGTGATGCTTGATGTCTTCGGGCCTTCATATGCAGCGACCAACACTGGTCCAAAATTAATCCTGTAGTTCACTTGCAGACTCCTGTCCGCCGGTGACGGAGCCGTTGGGCCCCGAGTACTCAGTTAGAGAACGCAGCAGCAACAACGCCTGACAAGGGAGCTTCAAGATGTCTGGCTTGAAAGCTGTAGCCATGCGCATGTTGGCGAAGGTTTGTTCTGAAGATTCGCAGCCATCTACGGCGGCGAGTGCAGAGAATGCGCAGCCCGTGACAGAGGATCCTCCCAGTGTCGTCGACCTGGCAAGCCAGCTGAGTCGAGTGCATGTCTTCACCGTGAAGCTCTCCAGTGTCTTGAGCTCATGGTACGAGAAGTGTGACGTGGCAGACACGCTTCATTTGTGCCCCAAGCTGGACAAGATTTCGGCCGAGTGTGGACAGATGGACAGGCTCGTGGTTGCTGGAAATGGCAACGTCGGCAAAAGCACGGTCGTGAATGCTTTGCTAGGCGAAAGGAGGTTCTGGCCGACTGCTTCCTTCTGCATGACTTCCTGCATCTGCGAAACACACTATGGTGATCAGAAAGCATACGCAGATGGTGGCACAGAAGTTGCCATCCACTGTCAGACGATTCCCCAAAAACTTGTCTACAAGAGCGCTGCTTCACAGCCCGACGAGTTCAAGTCCAGCGTCCGGTGCGTTTGCAAGGCCTGGACTCCGAGTGAGCTGCTCAAGTCGAGTGTTGTTCTCGTGGATCTTCCAGGGTTGGACCAGGAGAAGGAGTACATGCAAGTTCTCAAGTCTTACATGAAGCAGCATCCAGCTCATGCCGCGGTGCTCGTCTATGTTCTGGATGTCAAGAGAAAGACCTGCAACTCGGACCGTAGTTTCTTCCAGGAACTCATGCGATCTTCCTGGATGCCGCTTTCACAGGGCTTGCACCTCTTGGTCAACAAGTGCGACGCGGTCCAAGGTTCTGAAACAGACGAGGACGAACCGCCGCCGCCATACAAGAGCTTGATGGAAGACATTGAGCGAGATGCATGCAACTACTGCACTCCGAAGTTGTTCCCATTATCAATGAAGGATCGGAAAGCTGGTGTTGAGGATGCTGTGTTCAAGTGGGATGCTGTCGTTGCCGACCTTCGCTCTGCCCTTACGAATCGCAAGTCGCTTCGGTTGAGGCGTAGCTCTGATGATCTTCGGGATGTCATTCAACAGCTGGAGAGCAAACTAAACGATTCCGAGCGCCGGGTTGAGCAGATGCAACAGCAGATAGAAGAGGCGGAGGCTTTGCGACAACAGTTCAAGGACAGCAGCTTCAAGGATAGCTTTGTTAACCAGCGGGCGAAAGAGATGCGAGATGTGTTGGAGGAGAGGCGCGAAGATCATTTGCAGGCTGTCTTCCGCTCTACACCACACCTGAACCGCCGAGTTGGAGTGGAGCAGTTGAAGGAGGTCGACCAATTCATCGTTTCAAGCGTCCAGGTCATGATCGCCAATGATATCCAGGCATCTGCAAACATGTCCAGCGTGCTGTCTTCAGCTGTTTCCAGCTTGGGGATTGTTGCCGGCATCGGCAGCCTTCTCGCGTTGGGGGAAGGAGGCGCTAGTGCAGCTGCTGCAGTGTTTCTGCTCTGGCCTGCAGCGGTTGCTGCCGCCTGTGTTATAACAGCAGGCACTGCTGCAGTGGTTGGTCTTTGGTGCCTTTTCGCCGGTACGCTGGTGAGTGAGGATCACGTGAGGCAGCGTTTTCATGAATTCTACCTGCATCAAGTTGACAAGACGAAGGAGCTTGCAGAGAAAGAATATACGACCTTGCGCGACGCTAAATCACGCGAGGTGCAGGCATTGAAGGATTCCTTGACAGAGTTCTTGGAAGCGGACTTGCAACGTTTGGTGAAGGCGGGCTTCGGGGAAGAGTTCGAGCAACTGCGTGCAGAGTACGCGGAATTAATGCAGTTGACGTCGCAGGTGCTCACCACACAAGAGGAGTGAAGTCACTTGCAGTCATGAAGTCCCGGGACCCGACCAAACACTTCCTGTGGGCCTCAGGGCGTAGTTTTGTAGTAGCCGCGCAGCCGCCTGTGGTACGGGCAGTGATCGAGCGAGGCAGCACACTGCTGCGAGGTGACAGGAAGGCTTCGCCACTACCCGTGAGCCTGCATAAAAGCTGCAGTCTGCTTTTCCAAGGTGTGAAGCCGGGACAGAGTATGACTGTATCCAAACAGTATGCTTCCCCCTAGCTCGAAGGTGCATCTTGCCTCCAGTCTTCAACCTTGGCTGAGAGCAATGACAAAACACCGGTAACACTAGCAGCAACCGCAGCAGCAGCAGGAGTGGTGGTGGCAGTCGTCGTCGTCGTAGTCGTAGTAGTAGTAGTAGTAGTAGTAGTAGTAGTAGTAGTAGTAGTAGTAGTAGTAGTAGTAGTAGTCGTAGTCGTAGTAGTAGTAGTAGTAGTAGTAGTAGTAGTAGTAGTAGTAGCAGTAGCAGTAGCAGTAGCAGTAGCAGTAGCAGCAGTAGTAGTAGTAGTAGTAGTAGTAGTAGTAGTAGTAGTAGTAGTAGTAGTAGTAGGTAGTAAGTAGTAAGTAGTAAGTAGTAAGTAGTAAGTAGTAAGTAGTAAGTAGTAAGTAGTAAGTAGTATGTAGTATGTAGTAAGTAGTAAGTAGTAAGTAGTAAGTAGTAAGTAGTAAGTAGTAAGTAGTAAATAGTAAGTAGTAAGTAGTAAGTGTAACCCACATCCGTTTTACTCGGTATTTACAGCACTTTCGTCATATAGGAACGTCTTATGAAGCTAGAAATTTCACCTCCGAGTTTTCAAACTCCAGCATCCGATTGTGGATTTTTTTGTTGTGGGGGTGCGTGGGTGTGCGGGAAAAATGAAGTGGAGATTGTTACGCAGACACCTCGAACAACATCTCCGCAAGAGCCATTTTACTCGGTATTTACAGTACTTTCGGGATGTCCGCCATCTTATAAAGTTGCTAAGCCTACCTCTGGACTTTTCTACGTTGTCTGTTTGCCTTTGCGAGGGCTTTCAGCGAAAACTCGAAATTGGGTGGGGGAAGGCTTGTTTTACTCGGTCTTTAAAGTACTATGCTCAGGTCAACTCCATTACTAACAACGAGTTTTCAAACTCCAACATCCGATTCTGGACTTGCTTTTGGCAGGGGCTGGGGGGGGGGTGCGGGAAAAATGATGACGACATTGTTACGCCGACACCCCGAATAACATCTCCGGAAGAGCCATTTTACTTGGTATTTACAGTGCTTTCGTGATGTCAGCCCTCTTTTAGTCGCCAAGCCTACCTCTGGACTTTGCTACGTTGTCTTTTGCCTTTGCGAGGGCTTTCAGCAAAAACTCGAAAACGGGTGGTCATAACTGTTCGAGGCTGCCTGTATGTTATCAGCCCCCCCCCCCCAAGCAACGCATGTAAAAGGACATGGTTGGTAAGGGGGGGGGGCCGCCTAGCAGTAGTAGTAGTAGTAGTAGTAGTAGTAGTAGTAGTAGTAGTAGTAGTAGTAGTAGTAGTAGTAGTAGTAGTAGTAGTAGTAGTAGTAGTAGTAGTAGTAGTAAGTAGTGGTGGTGGTGGTAGTAGTAGTAGTAGTAGTAGTAGTAGTGGTAAGTAGTGGTGGTGGTGCCAGTGCCAGTGCAAGTGCCGGTGGCAACGCCTGCCGCAGTGCCAGAGACGGTAGCCGCAGCCCTAGCAACAGCAGTATCAGTGGCAGTAGTGTAGACAGTTTCAGAAGCAATCGGATCATCATCCTCATCATGGCTATCTACCGTGGCGTATGTTCTTAGGCTACAAATGACAGGTTTATGGTCGACTCAGAGGCATTCATTGCGGCCGGCGGGCTGAGGTGGGGCGTGGACCCTCTCTCCATGGATGGCTTCATGCTGGCCTATGCTGTGCAGGCTGGCCGGAGTTCAAGCTGCATGCTGGCTTTCTGATCTAGGTCTGGAGTGTAGGGTTTCTGAGGATCAGGATGACACTCCTCAGGTCAATGCCGCACCTTAGTCTGGGTGATGCTTTCATTGTGGTCTTCTGGATGAGTGCTTCTTTGTCCCCTCTAGGGCAGTATGCAGTGTTGCATCTTCACCGCAAGCGGTTTCAGGTCAATGATCACCCAGACCCGCCGCTGGTGCACAGCATCAGCTGGGGTGATGCAGAGGCGACTTGGCTTTCAGATTCCTAGGAATTCACTCGTTCAAGAGCGCTTTGCCAAGTCGATGAGAGGCTTCAAGTCTTGGAAGGGCCCGGTATGCCTGAACTCCCTGCAGGCTCTGTATCCTCCCATCTTCATTCAGCGCCTGGATTATGAATTGCTGAAGTGACTCGGGCTGCGATGGAATGGTCTGACTGCTGGAGTTGCTTTCACATGTTTGCTCGGTGCTCTCTCTGTGGTAGCAGACCGGAGCCTGTGAGCCGACCTAGTTAAGCAGAGCCTGGGTCTGCAAGAATTCACTGAGTTAAAGTGATCGACAATCCGGACGAAACTTGAAGCCAGGTTGGTCCTCCGTGGGATCACTGTCATTGTTGCAAGTGGCGACAATGGGACCCTCAGCTCGTCAGCTAGTTGCGACGGAGATAGACCTTGTCCTTTCTCGAAGCTTGGATTTCGCAGCTTAGGGCGGGCTGCTTGATACCTATATCATGGCAACATAATATGGCTTGCAAGACCTCCTATGTCCAGCGCTTCCGCAGCCTTGGATTACATTCCGAGCATTCAGCCGCATGTCTCCAATCAGGAACAGCGCCGTGGGCACCGACTGCGACTTCCTCCCCGATCTTGTGGGAACTTCGCCCTGGGTGTCTCAGCTCAGACTTGATGGTCATGAGCACTGATCGTCATGAGTCATGACTTTTGAATGCACAAACAAGACGAGGTAGCAGTCTTTCCCAGTACACACCAGTGACAGTGTTGCCAACCTCATCACCATCACCACCACCACCATCATCATCGCCATCGCCATCGCCATCATCATCATCATCATCATCATCACCATCACCATCACCATCACCACCATCATCATCTTCGTCCTCATCACTCTCACTCTTATTCTCACTCCCAATCTCACTCTCACTCTCTCTCTCTCTCTCTGCGCTTCGTGGGCGCTGTGCAATTGCACATCCATCTGAACTCAAACGCCTGGGGCGGCCGCACACGAAACACACATCATATCTGCTGGAGCTGTTGGAAATGTAGAACAGCCGGCAGCTACTAAGCTACTATTCATCAATCTCACTGACAAGGGTCCTCGATCGCATGCCCAGCATCGGTCAGATCGGACATGTTGCAGTAAAGAGGGGGGACTAAGCCACAAAGCAAAGAAGCGGGAACCAAACTCAACCACCACGACCACCACCACCAACACCAGCAGCATCATCATCATCAGTGGCTACTTGAGAAAGACGTGATCCGTTGAGGTCACGTCTGTGGGGGCCACAATGCCCTCGCTCGAATCGCAGCCGTACTGCGCAGCGAGGCCGGGCCCCGGAGAATGATCCGGAAATTCGGGGCAAGCAAGACTGAATTGTTGTCTGTACTTCTGCATGGAGTTACTGTATGCGGTAGCTTGGATCCAGGTCGTCACGGCCAGGTGTAGTTCAGTTGTATTTCAGCCGCAGATTGACTTGTCTTTGCACCTTCGTCACCTGGCTTGGGCCTGCTTCGAGTAAGTGAAAGTCAGCGACTTAGTGCCTTGGATTCCTCAGAACGCCTTTCGGAGTTGCTCCAATTCATCCCTCCAAGCTCTTGTCCCGATATTGAAAACTGGAGCGACGAACCCTCTCGACCCTCGTACGCACCTTGGGGCACTTGTTAATGTCTTTTCTTGTTCAGACCAGGTCCTTCCAAGACCAGTTCGGCGAATGTGTGGAGCCGGGACAGGCTTCTCTTCTGAGTTGTAGGACCCTGGCGCCATGCAATGTTGCGTAATCCAGCCCGTGGATAGTCGTGGCCACTAGTTTCAAGCTGTGGTGTTCAGGGCTTCGAGGTTGGGGTTTCGAGTGTAGAAAGTGGGGTTCAGTGCACAAGACGTTGGCAACGTCGGATCTACCGTGGGTCTCGCCAGGAATGAAGCGCTCAAAGAAAAAACAAACTATTCAGGCATCTTGGGCACCCTTTCAGCTGATTCCAGCTTCTAAGCTTCCATCCCCATGGACGAGGTGGTTTGTTCGACCAGCGAGGCGGGGGGAGTGGCAAAGTGCATAAGGCGCAGGAGTTGAAGGTTGTGGGTTGAAGCTGTCCCTGTTGGAGATGAGGTGGACTTTCTCAAGAGCTCCGGCCGTATATGAGCTCCGGAAACACTCTTGGCTTTTGGCCGTAGGAGCCCCCCACTCTGGGAAAGCCCAGAGTCCACAGCAGTCTTCCAGGGGGCGTTGATCACGAGCTCCGGGTATTTCTCCATCTACCGTTCTCGGCCACGCTATCAGGACCGCACCGCAACCGCGACTTGCTGATGAGGGGTGTAGTTCGCAGCAGCCCAAACACCAATCAAGCCGACGAGGCAGTAATCTCTCAGCTAGAGTACTTCCTCTATCTGCAGTACTTCCATATTACAGCAATTACAACCAGCAAAGAAGCAATCGCAAGCAGCAGCCACGTCCAGCATGATTACCCTGAGCAGAATTTTGCAAAGGTGCCTTGATGTGGATGGCCCCCTGACCGATGACTGGTCGCTAGAAGATGCTAGAACCCTCAGAGAGCAGGGAAGATGCTGGAATTCTTCAGGCACCTGTGGAGGCAGCATGAACCTTCAAATGTGCTGACTTCATGATTCCAACGTAGTCGAGAAACCAAGCTCCGACGCCCACCATGCTGCCAAGTTCCCGAAGAACCGCCCATTCCGTATAGCTTGAACCGCACGCCGACACCGGCAAAGCGTGTGACAGTAAGTCAGACTGTCGGTGTGCACGTTTCTGTTGTCGTGAGGAAAGCAACGACCGAAGAGCACGATTGTAGTGACGATAGCAGTCGTGACGACGATGATGATGATGACGACGATGAAGATGCTGACATTCCTGGCTAGATCAACCGTTGAAATCATCATCGAAGCACAGCTCTGACCTTGAAACCCTGATCCAAAAATTGATCTAAGTCATTTGTGCGAGGATCGTGCCTTGGCGCTCTTCCTCAGCAGTTCAGATGCTCGACCCTGCAAATAAGAAGAACTTTGGGCTTCATGCAGATTTTGCAGCACGGTGGTGGTTTGTCTATTCGGGCTTGGGTCTGAGGACAGAGTTGCAGAAGCCTTTCGGGAGAGTGATGAAGATCCTTGTTCAGATAGCAACTCAAAGCAGCAAACGTCATTGACTCAACTCCATGGTAACCAAAATAGGTAACAACAAAGGACAGTTGCTAAAGCGCTCAACGTCCACACGTCTTGTAGCAGAGTCCCAGAGTTCAAGAGTCTTTAGAGATGGCCCAGGATTGCTTGCCATGCCATGTGCGCAACGACTCCCTTCACGCACTTCGGCATGTTTCACGTTTGTTTTGGATTCTGGATGCGAAGTCAGGGGCGGGGGGGGGGGGGGGGAAATTTCAGATTGAGAGCACCACGGACCCTGGACCGCACGGAACGGCCCACCACGAAAGCCACCGACGTACTCGGCATGTTCATATTCGTCGTGATCTGGAACCGGGACAACCGAGTCTTCGGATCTTCAGCCGGGTTCGCTACAGCCTCACTGGTACAAGTCTTGATGCTTTCTTCATTGTCACAAGTCCTAGCTCTACAGCATAGCTTGTACTTGCAGCTATGAAATATAGTACTGATCGCAGTTTTGAAACAGCACCGAGATAGTCGCAATGAGAATGACGTGGTTGGCAGGTGGGGTTGGTAGCCGGGAGATTTGCTGGTGATTGTGCTAGTCGTCTTCACACATGTCATGACAGCGGCGCCAGCAGCCTTGCTGACAGTCCTGCACATCTCGAGGTCTACATGACAGCTGTCAAACTGAAACTTCCAGGCAAGTTTCAGTAAAAATCATGGTCCCATGGTCCCATCATCATGCGCCTTCAACCCCTTCTGTATTGTGCAAGCTCAGCAACGTTGAAGGTCACGCTTGCTTTCTTCGCCTTGTGCTTTCCGATTCCGAGGTCGGCCAATTGGAGATACCCTGCCAGCACGCAGCTCGTTACCAGAACTCAGAATTTTGAGCGAGGGGAGGGGGGCCTCGGAGCTCGGCTTCTCTCGGAGCAGACTCTTGCTTCGGTCTCCATGGCGCAGTCTCGGAACCCCGTCCGGGCAGAACCCTCGGACCTAAGCCTTTGAGACATGAAGCCCTTCCCTGCGGGGGCCGCTTCCAATTTCAGGTGAATCGCTCTGGCTGCCCCCTGCACCAGCTGATCCGAGGGAGTCGTGCAGCGCCGGACGCTGGGCTGAGAAGGAAAGAATACACAAATGATAATGTGTTGTAGGTTAGATATTATGTACTTATATCACATATCCTTCTGAGGATCGTTATGAGACCCGATTGCCCGCTCATGACGGCTCTGCAATCCCCTTCCCGCCCAAGCGCCTGCCATCTTCCATGTGTTGGTTTTGTTAGATTTTGCAAGCAGGACGTGGCCCTACCGGGGCAAAGCTACCCGGTCGCTTTGGCAGCAGTGTGTGCATGGGCTGTTCTTCACAGGCCTCAGGTCAAAGAAAATGCAAGCGGAAACACTCTCTTTGGTTTTTGTCGTTTTGAACTTGGAACTGCGGTTTCTGGATCTAGTTTCTGCGACTCTACACACCGTCGTCTGATCGCAGCCACGAGACACGTCATGCTGCCAAACTCTTTACTATGCTGCATCCACTAGTCTAATTATCAGTCTCTGGGAAGTGCGAAACCCTGCATGTGAAACAGACCGTGGTCAACAAGAGCGTTCTGTCCTTTGACGGCACCTCTGCGTCAGCGCCGGCGTTGGCAGCACTGGCTTCTCGGCTGCCAGTGCCCCCAACTGCCGCTCAGGATGTCTCTTGTTTGTTGGTTTGTTTCGGGTTCGGGGGGCATGCTTTGATGCTGTATGCCTGATCGTCTATAGGAAGCGTGTATTTAGGGATCTGTATACAGGCTCGATTGGATAGTGGCGACCGTATAGGTTGGATGTTATTCAGGTATTCTTGGGATGTTAGCAACAAGCAATCTTAGAATCATGTGGTCAAACTTGGACCTTCGATGAGCTAATTTTTCCAGATGGGAAGTCTTAAATGCAACTTCTCGGGTCCCAGGCCTCATAATCCAAACCTCAAACATACCCCCAGAGAGTTGGGATTTAGCATGCTCCCTAAACTCAAACCCAGGTCTCTCGGCTGAACGAAGCTCAGCGCAGAGCGGGGCGGCCCTCTCTGGGCTTGCTGAATCCCTGGCTGTACCAGGCAAGGTTCTGCGCAAATGCCTTGGACCTATAGGCTGTTAAGGAGAGGGCTTTCATAACGTAGAGATCTCTAATCTGGGGTTCCAACTGCACCGGTTGAGACGCACCATGCAGGATTCCAGCAAGTTGCAGGTCCTTCCGTTGTTTATGGGGAATGTAAAGGGCTGATTATTTATGTGGGTGGCCCCTAAAAGCAAGTCTCGCCTGGCCTTGTCGAGACTCCTCGCTATACTGAGAGGTTTTCTGGTACTGAAGCAATCTGCTTCGTGGCATATCGAGCATTTGCCAAGGTCCGACAACAGTGCACGAATCGTCATCACCACGAGCCCATGTGGTAACATCCGCCCTCCGACAGGTGCACCAGGACCATCCGGAGGCTTTCTTGGATGTCTCTCTGCTCTAATACGGATTCGGATTCGGGCATCATGAGCAACTTCAAAGCAAGCTCGATCATGAGCTAGGTGAATAGGAAGAGCCAGCAAAGACAGAAATATACCGAACCCACAGCCCTGGGCAACCTCTCTTGCAACCCTGATGTTGAGGTCGTGGTCGGCGATACAGCCTCTACCGAGGAAGGGTTTCGGGCTTCCGTCATGTGCCTTCAAAGTAGTCTATGCAGTGAGGTCCTCAGAGCGCACCGGGTCTTTGGTTTCAGAGGGTTGCTTCAGACGCGAAGATCAGAATTCGTAGTTTGTGGCAGTTTCTGGTGTGACGGACGTTTATGCCGATACCAATGCAATCCTAATCTGTTTACAGTCGCAATCCTGCGTGGCCCAGGAAGCCCGAAACATTCAGCCCGACACTACACCCTCAACCTTACAAGGCCGTCCCCAACCGACAAGCCCAATAAGCCCTTAAAGCTCTGCCAAAGCCCCCGGACGGCGAGGATCACCTGTGCAAGCTGGGCTTCAGGGCAGGTCCTGGCTGGGCGTCCTGGCAGCTTAAGGATTATATAGGGCCGTGCTGTCCGGGCCACTTCGCATTTCTTCTATACACCGACTCAAAACCCAGAAACTCGAAATCTTAAGGTCCTCGACCCTAAACCGTATATGCCCTGAAAAGCTCCTGTGTCTAAGCCCTTAAAGCCCTGAATTGCCTCTGACTGCAAGGATCCCGCGACTGGCCTTGGAGTTCCTCGTTTCTCACGGCTGTTGGCGCTTCTGCCACGTCCTGGGCCCGGCCCCGAGGAACGAGCATTTGTTTGATTGGAGGGTTGAGGGTTTAGGGTGCTGCTTTGAGGTTCAGGGGTCAAGGGACGGGCTCAGGGTTTAGCATTTACATGTCACCGATCTGTTGACCTATCTCGGGAGCACGAGAGATCGAGTCCTTGGCACGTCCAGAGTCCACCAAGCAGAAAGCCACGTCGGCACTTTCGGAGAGGGAGACCAGGAGCGTAATGTAGGGGCATTAATAATAGGGTTTCAAGAAGATTCTGCTGATCGAACTACTACACCCTTACTGTTACATGCTCCCGATACGTTTGTATCGGGCCAGAACGGGATTCTGGCTATCAAAGACCTCTATTCCGAAACTGCACCCCTAAAGACTATGACTAAGCCCTCTTGCGCTGGATCTCCCCAACCGCAACTTTGCTGAGGGCCCCGGTTTCTTCGGCCGCGCTGGAGTTCCGAGAGACCTGGGAGCCAGCAGCACCAGAGAGGCTCCCCGGCTCAGGGGTTGAGGAGTTTGTGCTTCGAAGGTTTATTGGGGTCAGGGGCTTTCGGGTCTTGGGGTTTAGGGCTTTCGGGTTTCAGTATGGGTTGCATGGCGTTTCATTTTAGGATTTAGTGCAACGCATGTGCGTGGTTGGCAAACGCATACGCGTTTGGTTTGACAGGCTTGTTATGGGTCCGTGTGACCTTGTCATGCACTTTGGGTGGAGCTCACTTGGAAAGTCACTTAGCCTGAAGTAGTGCAGCACCGTGCCTGGATATTTCGGACAGACAACTGAAAACTCTAGAAATCAGGGCCAGGCTTAGCCATGCAGATGATACGCGCTGTCCGCCTATAAACCTTCTTGAAGTCATCGGATTTGTTGACTCTGCTTGCCGTTTCAGCTCGGCTTGTGCTAAGCCCGGATCCACCAGCGACCAGCGATTCGATGGCGGAAGAGCGGCGCTTCTTCGAACGGGTGCGCTCAAAGCTGGCAGACTGGAGCTACCTGGGCAGGGCCTTCTGGGGACTCTGGGGTGCCACCAGCAGCTGCCAGATCCTTGGAGAATCGAGCCCTTTCTTTTTCCATAGTAAACCGCGTCCTCGAACCTGTAAAGTCCAAGACCCTAGTAGAGCTTCGGTCATGCATGAGACAACCTAGCCGCGAAAAAGGCTTGTCCAGAGGGACGCTTGCAGCTTCATGACCATGAAGAGCATGACGGGAGCAGTGCTTGCATCTTTCGCCAAGAGCCATGCGAAGCTTGTCTTTCGTGGATCATCCCTGCTATGCTTTGGCAACTTCGAGTTTAGCTTTTAGAGACGGGATTCAGGTCGTTGGGGTTGAGGACGAGCTGTAGTGCGACCTAGAAGAACCCAAGGCCGAGACAGCACGCCATCAAGAGCAAAGATGCCGCCAGAACAGAGCAAGCGCTTTACCACGCACCGGACGAGCGCTGAGGGGGATGTGCTAGTAGCATGATTTCCGGGCCACAGCCGGCATTTAGCCAGCACTACTCTCTCCCCACACGCCTTGCTCCTGTCCATCATCTCATCGGCAGTCCCTAGCCTGGAACCTGATTGTCGGCCGATGTAACAGCGTACGGCTCACCAAAACCCGCACCCAGCTTTCAACCTGCAGCAAGGACAGCGACAGCCCGACGAAGTTTCACTTGTTCGGGTTAAGTATGTTTGCTATGTGCTGCCATTGTTTCTCTTGTGGTTCTTATCAGTAGCACTTGCACTGGTTATAAGTTATCAGTGTTATGATTCGTTTTAGGATTGAGTTATGATGTTGATGATTTCTGAAATTTCCGGTTGCATGCTTAGTTATCGGCCCAAAAAGGATCCAGTGCGTACCCACTTGCAGCATCTCATCTTGTGTTGCAGTCCCAGCGAGGATTGAGTTCAATCCTGCTAAATCCTATCCTCCGGAGCTAATCTGCATGCTCTGTTGGGTCGAAGCGTTTAGTCACACAAACGTCTCTCTCTTCAGCTGAGCGAGCGTGCCTTGGACTTTGGCCAAATGTCGTATCAGTTCCCATGCAGCTAGCGGTGGGGCCATGGATCCTTCGCGGGAAAGGGCAGCCTGGGAGGCGTTATCCTGTCAAGAGTTGCAATGTTCGACATTTTCCAGTTGATGCCCATGACACTTGATCCCTATGGAGGCAGCATCGGTTGCTGGTGTGTGGGTACTTTGGTCTTTGCGCCTCACTTGGATGCCTCTTCAGTGCAGTACAGACTAATGCGCTACGTGACCAGATCGAGCCAAATCGGCAGCTGGCATCCACGAAAAAGGTTCGCATGTAAAGTCTAGTGCTTGGGCATCCAGGTTTGTCAGGCCGAATCTTACAGAGGTCAGCTTGGGGGTCACCCGTTGTTTGCACGAGTCCCTGCCCACGGGACCCTCCTCGTAGGCAACACACAAGCCTGAACCATAGAAACCCCCATCCGACAGTTTTCAATTGCAAGCCAGCCAGTGTTGTAACCTAAATCCCGGACCGTAAACACCCTAAGCCCCAAAACCCGTTGGACGCCAAAAAGCCAAGATCCCGAAAGCCCTTAGACCCTGAGCTAACTTCCCTTGCTTGCTCTACCCGGAGGCCCCATAGTAGTTCCTTTCTGGGATGACCTTTTAGGATTCTGTATATGAACTCCAAAAACGAACTACTATGGGGCCTCTGGGTAGGCCTCTGGATCCGTGGTGGATGCTTGCGCTGGGGAGCCCGCTCCTCGTCGCAGGCCGGGCGTGCTAAGGCCGAAACCTCATCTCAGCAACACTGGACTCCGATGTTCTTCGGTTGTTCTGTATACATTCAACATACATACATACATTCATATATACATACATACAGACATACATACATACATGCACACGTTAGAGTGCAGAGTTGGAGGTTCCGGTTCGTTGGAAACAGACGTCTGTATCTAGATTCGTAAAGTCTCCACCTCATATGTGCATTGAAGTTTTCGGACGGCCTATTAAAGCTCCGGTACTGACTACTACAACCGTGGATAGACGTATCCATAATTGATGCTTCATTCTCGCTTTTATTCGACTACTTTTCGGCAACTACAGTCGTGCTGTTCATCCATTTAGCCGTCTATTTATGTATTTGTCAATCTTTCTTTACGTCGGTCTATCTATCGGTTGACTGTATTATCTCTGTGTCCCTCGCTCTTTCTGTGTCTTCCTGCTTGCATGTTTGTGCCTTTACCCTTCAGCTTCTATCCCTGAAGGCATCCTATTCTACAGCCGCAACCACCGCGAAACTTGATAGGAGCCACGAGCCTCTCCCTCGCTAGCTCCTCCTCCGACGCCCTTCGATGCGAAACCTTCTGCTACCGAAACAGTTCAAACCCGAAAAAGTTCGATCCATAGACCATCCGATGCTCACCGGCAGGCTGCTGGCTTGGCCGGCTCCTCCGCCGATCTGGGCGAGATCTCCGCGAGCCGCTTCTGGGCTCTGAGGCAGAGGAATCGGAAAGACCGATTGACGAAGCACATGCGAGCATCAGAAGCCCTGCACTGCGTCCTGAAGCAGCCATCTTCTGACTGCCACGCGAGAGAGAGAGAGAGAGAGATAAAGAAAGAAAGCACGAGCGGGAGAGGTAGAGGAATACCCACATGCATGCGTGCTTACGTACACAAATACATACAACGACATACATACGTACATACATACGTACATACATACTGGCATATATGCATACATACATACATGCGTAAGAAAATGCATATGCGCATTAGAGGTGTGCACTTCTGTGTCTGTATACATGTATTGTGTATGTAATTGTATATAGCATTGTACATGTCTGTTTCTATCCATATGTCTACCTGCCTACTTACCTATCTATCTATGCATCCATCTATCTATCGGCCTATCTATGTACCCGGTCTATCTAATCTATCTATCTATCTAAGTAAGTAGATATCTGTATATATACATTTGTATTTCAAGATATAAATAGATAGATCGATCGAGCCACCCGCATATATACATGCATGCCAGCATGCGTACATGCCTTGCAGGGCATCGTGAATCGCGAAGCTGGCGATCGCCATGCTTCTCGCTGCTGAGAGAAAGTTTTAGATCCGTCTTCACCGCTCGTGGGAATTTCAGTTCCTTTGATTGCGGAATGTCTGTGGTGCGTTCTTCTGCACTAACGCAGCATGTTTGAGAGGATCTGCGCTCTCGGTCTTTGTGCGTGTATGTGTGGGTCGGTCTAGCAGACATGGTGAGGACCAGTTGGTTTAGTGCTGCTCCCCAGCGCTAGTGCGTTCCTTGGCGCACTAAGCCGCCGCAGCAAAGCCTGCAGCAGGGGAGCGTCGGAAGTGTCCGAGACGCATCGAGGAGTTATGGATGAAAATGGGCATGGGGACGGAGACTGAACGTTATCCGCTATGCTGGCTGTGGATGAATCACCCCCTAGCGGCTCTAGTCTTCTATGGGTGAACTATCGCTTCCCAGTAACCTCTGAGTCTAGTCTGAAAATTGAGGACTGAAGCTTCGAGGTAGGACACCTGAGATGTGGATGTGTAGCTGGTTGGAATTTTGTCTCTTTCACGTGTACACTCCTTTCGTGGCACATGAATCGACAGAGAATTGAGATCTTATAAGTTATAAGCCTTAAAATCTGCTCCCCAAACCACACCCTAGGTTCCAGCTAAACTCCAAGCCGTGCAATCAGCGACACATTGGTTGGAGGGTCTTTCCAGGGGTGATGAGAGTTCAGAAGAGGTTTTGTAGTGTACTTAATATAGTATATGGGGTGTCTTCAAGTTTGGAACACCTCCTCTACGGGCCCTGATGATAGATAGGTACCCTACTAGAATCATTAGAAACTAGTGTCATTCCGTAATGGGCCCCTTGCATTCGTCACCTCCCAGCCGCATTCGGACGTCAGGTTTTGCAGTCCATAAACTCCAAACGAGACCATGCGCTGTTGGCCCGGGTGACTATTCCTTCGGGTTCCTTTTCTCATAAGTATCGCATATTTCCTTATTAACTCAGGATTCCTTATCACCATCACAGAGAATAGCAGTAAACTGCATCCAAAACCCAAATTTCTCCCTGTTCAGATCGCGACGGCGATGGATGTTTTGATCATGGCCGGAGCAGATGTACACCGCGAATGCGGCTCGGATGGATTAGGGGTTGCAGGGTTTATGGGTTTAGGGTGTAGCGCGTCAAATGTAGGTTTAGGTTGGGATGTGGTGTTAGGGTTAAGGCTTTGACTTCTACAAACAGAAGTTCTGAGGGTCACTCTTGGAATACGGACTTTCTGAAGAGTAGTAAAAGGGATCCTAATTCAGAGATCCCTTGACATGTTGAGCGTAGGCATATCAGAGAACATGAGCGCCTGACCGGCTAACAACCCTCAACCCTTCGTAAATCATGGCTGCATGAGGACTGAGCAAGAGTAGAAAGACCAAGTATGCAGTCAAACTATGACAGTCAAACGAGTCAAACGGATGCACGAGAAGCGAGGTTTGGAAAGTAGAAGCCATGGCCTGAGTACGAAGAGGCAAACTGACAGCTTCTATGGCACTAGGACGTTGACATCTCCTCAGAGTCCTCCACATGATGTTGGGCTTGTGATGAAAGGAAACATCTGATTCCTCGGCTCTGAAAGCCCTAGGCCATGATCTTCCAAAATCTCCTACAGCCTTACAAGCCCTAAACCCTAAGGCCACAATCTGTCTGGTGCTTAGTAGGGAATGCGGGAATGGATCCCTTTAGAAGTCCCTATATAATCCCCCCAAAAAAGTCCGCAATCTCCATTCCCCCATTCCCTACTAAGCAGCAGGGAGAACAAGCATCCCACAGTTGCCAGCCACAGGCGGACAGATGCCTACCGGCCGTCTTGTCCTGGGCCCGGCTTAGCATTTTCTTGGCGGTCGGAAGTCAGGACATCGAAGGACCCTAATATAGGGCCTTCAATAACAATACTAGTTTGGGGGCTCCTTATTGTGATTAGTGCAGTATAGTGGGCCCCAAAACCCTATTCTAATGATTAAGGCCTCTGCAGTAAAGCTCGGCCCGTGCAGCCGCAGCAAAAGGTTCAAACTCAGCGTCATGTCCTCGAGACCCCATGCGAGGCGTAACATGACCCCAGAACTGCACGGTTCTTTCGCGCGAGGTTGCTGGACTGCAGAGGCATTTGCAGAAAGGCAGTTCCCAAGCCCACCAGAAATGAAAGCTAACTTCAGAGGCCTTACAATCTGAATGGCATGCATGACTGCATGCGACCTCGATACTCTATGCTGCACTATGCTGTACGCTAGCAGTAACGCATCATGTTTGGCCTTGCCGTAACCAGGAACAAGGCGCCCAGGTTCTCTCGACAACATACACAGGTTACCAAAAGGCTTTCGCACTCTACTGAAAGCTTATTGATTGTAAGTTCCGAGTCTACCTTGGCTTTCTACGTACATACTGTACGCAGTGGTTTAGACGTGCTGAGGTTCCCCTGCGGTTCGCCGCAAGGCACGAGCCAGGGAAGAAAGCGAAGGGGGGAGGGGGGGAGGGGGGTGGGAGGAGGCATCCGGTAAATTGAGGAGTAATGCTCAGTTGTTGCGTGCGGGGGACTGGATGGAGAGTTGAAAAGGTTCAGCAAATACAACGTTACACTGAGGTGAGCCCTTTCCAGGTGCCAAGAATGTCAGAACAATCGCTCAGTGCTGTATTGCCGGCATCGTCACATCCCCACGAGGCCCGCAGCAGAAGATTCTGATCCACAGGCCAGGCATTAAGAGACGTACTGCAACCGGAAACACCCGACCCTGTGCAGCTTACATTCTCTCAGCCGAAGAAAGAAAATCTTTGGCCCATCTTTGCAGAGGTTGCAGAACCACGACTGTCTCGAGGCGCTGTGGCTGGCTCAGCTCACAGACACTAAAGGCATCGGTTGATTGGCTTCTAGATTTCAGGAGGTGCTCTGGCCTTTGCTAGGTTCAGTCTTTTCAGACGCCACAGACTCGTCAACAGACTAAATGTTGCAGTCTTTTGGACAGCTGGGCTTCGCAGCTTGTAGTTGTGGCTGTGAAAGATCAGCACTCACAAGACTCGAGCTCCCATTGCTGGGCTTTCATTCAACATGCAACACATTCCATTCAAAACCGTTAAGTGAGACGCTCCCGCAGCCCGCCCGTATGTATATGTGTGTACATTATAGATAGATAGAACCCGAACATCTCTGGTCTAAACCCTCCCCCGGAGCCCGAAATCCTTATGCCTTCTCTCCTCAACGCACAGAGTCAAGGCATAGACATGTGGACCTCGGTGACATGTTTCATTGGGCAGCAGGCCTGTCGCACATCTGGAACCTCGGGTTGGGATTGTGGCAAAAGGTTTGGCTGTAAGGCAACATGTTTGGTGTATGTTGGTTGTGATTGCAAGCCTGGTTGCTGTTGCTAGAGCTCGTATCATTGCTTCTGTGACGATTGCGGGTTTTGGCTGCTGTCTTACGTGCAGCACAGCCATCGTGTGCGTCGACGCCTACAGCGACGACTACTACTATGAAACTCCACTGTTGCTAGCACCTCTGCCCTACCTGCCTACCGGCATCTACCGACCGATCGACCGGAGATGGACGAGACAACGAAGACGACGGCGTACCATACTGTCATGTTAGAGGTTGGCTCTTGTAATTCTCTCTGCTGCGTGATTTCCATGACGAGGATGACAGCTGAACTGCCCCTTAAACCTCGTGTCGTCGGGTCCTGTGTGTTTGGCATGCTTTCCCTGTTTGAGTTGATGTCGAAAATGCCACCAAAAAGCTACATCTGGATTGTCTCTGGCTTCATTGCATGGGTGTTTCACTTATGAACCTTGCAGGTATTGCAGCGGATTTCGTCATTCATTTCGTTCTTCTCGTTCTTGGGTTTCATGGATCCATGCAAGCAGGTTGCTGCAGGTAGCACACTCTCTGGTCATTGTGATTGTGGCGGCCATGTAGATCAGGGTCAAGCTACGTGTCATTGCAGTAGCTGCCGGCAGTAGCGGTCGCGCAAGACTTGAGAGGCTTTTGATTGCTATGTGCAGTGCGATTCAATCGTACAACAAGCTGAACTCTTAAGCCAGGTCGGAGAAACAGACCGGGAGGAAAGAGGACACTCTGCCATCCGAAGAATGCAGCCTGCAGCCCGGAACCTGAAAGCCGGAACCCTGAAATCGTAGTCACTAGTCACTCGTCCCCAAACCGTATAAGCAACACTGTGGTGGTGCAGAAGGCGCTTTTTATCATCATCTTCATACTACTAGCATCGACAATAATGATGTCAATGGTGTTGGGCAATTGTCAACCCCTAGCCCCCCCTCTGAACCCCTAAGCCTTCCGCCAGGTGAGAATGCTGCGGATCTGATGCTGACGCAGCCAGGGCCCCGACTCGGTTCCTGGAGTTCCTACCTTGGGAAGACATAGGGCTGAGCGAGTTGAGACAATTCGTTGCAAAAGCAATGGGCCAAGGCTTTAGTGCCCAAACCCCCAGAAGGGCACCAAGGATTCTTGCGCAGTTCGCAATGTTTCGGTGATGAAGTACTTTGCTGTTTGGGCACAGCCCCAAACCCTAAAGCTCCTGCGCCCCCCCCACATACCTCAAACATCCCTATAGAGCTCCCTTGGGTTTTTTTCCCAGGCTGGGTCGACTCTATGGCGCTGAGGCAAGGGCTCTTGTCAACGAGATTTCAAACTTCCTTTCAATTCCCAGAATGACAGGGATAACGTCGTCAAAACCCTAAACAGCCTATGCTATAAAGTTGAACCAACTTCTTTAATCAGTCTGCGTCTTTTCACCATATACCCTCGCCCTTTGTATGGCAGCTTGAATGAAGTTTCGACCCTAAACCCTCAACCCTACACTCAACCCTAAACCACTCGATTTGTTTCCCTAACTCGTAGCGTCAGACTCGAGGTGCAGCGGAAGATCAATGAGCTGTCGCCCTTCAGCTCCAACGCCCGGAGCTCCGGCTTTCTTTGGGCCGTTATACTACCTATACTCTTTTTTTTAGCGGGAAGGGGGGGGGTCTACAGTATCATGGGCCCCAAAACCCTATTCTGATTTAAGGTCTCTACAAA